GTCCGTCCAACGTCACGGACACGGCAAGCTCCTCCTCCTCCGCCCACTCGACACGTGCCAAATACTCCTCCGCCACTGTGATGGCTCGCGTCAAGGTGAGTCCCGTTTTCCTTTTTCAATTTTCAGTTTTCCTCATGCCCGCACAAATAATGCCTTGATAATTTACCCAAGAAATCATTTATCCCTATAGCCAAAAGAAAACTGTTATAGAAACTAAACTATTGGGGTTATATTATTTAGAATGAACTAATACTTATTCTTTTATGCTGTCTGTAGTTAAATTACAAGACACACTTTACTTGAAAGGAGAAATTTATAAGTAGATGAACGAAAAATTTATGTAATCGTATACATTTTATAATTTCATAATCAACACTTTAAACACGATTAAGAAATATTTCATATCGAAAATAATAAATATATGAACTCCATAATATATGCTGGTTAATAAATTTCATCATAAAACAAATGAAAAAAAAACAATTAAATGTGAAATTTAGGGACTGTAATCATTAAAGGGTTATATAAAATAAAAATGTTTGATTTTCTAAATTAATCAAATTATCAATCCAAACATTGCAGATCATTCGTGAGAACTGGAATCTAAAATACAGCGCCTGTTTTATCCTGTGTCCGGTGCGCACTCCGCCCCTGGCCGTTCCGCAGTTTGTGAGCGTGGTGTCCCGCCTGCGGGCTCCGCCGGGCAATCTGCTGACCCTTCGCAATACCGACCAGGATGCGGACTTTGCTGCCAGTCCGGTGAACAATGCGAGTAGCAGGAAAGGATCGCCGGTGGGCAGGGCTCCGCCGAGTGGCGATAATATACCCGATCGCATTGCCGTCTGCGTGAAGCCCCTGCACTTCAACTACGATCAGGCGCTCTACCTGATGGAGTACCTGGAGTTCTACGCCCTGCTGGGCGTCTCCCACTTCACCTTCTACAACCACACGCTGGGACCACATGCCTCCTGCGTCCTGCAGAGCTACCAGCAGGGCCTGGTGCCCGGCAATCTCACGGCCCACGATCTGGAACCGCTCCTGCCGGCGGAGGCGGCCAACAATGCCACGCCCCGTGTTCTGAAATCGACCCACTACCAACGACCCACTGTGAGCATCCTGCCGTGGAACCTGCGCATGCGCAGCCAGAAGGAGATCCGCACCGAGGGCCTCTTTGCAGCCTTGAATGACTGCCTCTACCGCACCATGTATCGCTACAAGTATCTGGCTTTAGTCGATCTGGACGAGTTCATCGTGCCGCGATACTCGGACACACTAAACGAGCTTATTGGGTGAGTTTTCCACGTTTCTTGATTCAATTATTTTTGGTTTTTATGCGACAGGAAATAAATAACCATTTAAACATTTTTTTTTAGTATGTTCTCCTGCGTTAATCAATATAAAGTTGTATTTTATTTTTAAATTGTTTAATTGAATGGTTTATTAATGTTTTAAAAATACTTTATAAAATGCAGATTCCTTCTGTTATAAGCACAAAAAATACACTTGTAGATATCAGCAAATATTTATTATATCAGCATTTTATTTTATTTATCAGTTATTATTAAAAGACTTTCTTATAAAAGCAGTGTTAAAATACAAGTTTTTTATTATTAATATTTTAAAAATTTTACAACTTAACATTTGCCATTTCATTATTTTATTATAAACCAAATTAAGTAAATTTCTTTATGTAGGTCCCTAAATCAGCGCTTTCGCAATCGCAATACGGGAGCCTATTCCTTTCAGAACGCCTTCTACTATCTTCAGTTTGCGGATGATAGCCTGGCCAGTTCGGGAATAGAAGGTGGCAATGACCAGTTGGCCAGTGTGCGGGCTTCGTTGGTCACCCAACGCAAGACACGCAGGTGAGTGGACCCTATGAATGACAAAGGATCAATAAGTACATCCTCTGACACCTATACCTTTCCAGGCGCTATAAACTTCACCCTCAGAAGCAGCGATCCAAGTACATTTGCAAGCCGGAGGCTGTGGTCGAGGCGGGCAATCACTTCGTGTGGGAATTTGCGCCGGGCAAAGGATCCCTCAATGTGCCGCCAAAGGAGGCAATTTTACAGCACTATCGGGTCAGTAGAAAAAACAGAAAATAAAATCATAATGTTTCTTATTAAACAGAGTAACTTACTTATTTTAATATCATTCCAACTAGGTGTGTGAATTTGGTGGCAACGACTGTATCAAAGCTCCATCGATTGTGGATCGCACAACCACAAAATATGTGAACCGCCTGGTTCAGCGGGTAGATGCTGTCTACCGACATCTTCGCCAGCGATGCGATCTTCCGGCTCTGCCTCCGCTACCCAAGATCAAGGAGAAACCCCAGGAAAAACCCAAGGAAATGAACAAGGAAATGCCCAAGGAAAAGCCCAAGGATAATCTTAAGGAGAAAACCCAGGATAAACATAACGAAAAGCCCAAATTGCTGCAGCAGATGCGTGAAACGCATGCGAAGGACACTCGGGGGCAGGCTGTCACAACGAAGGATAACCTAATCAAAGTAGTGGCTGCCACAGGAGCCACAAAAACGACAACAACGAAAAGAGCGGCAACGAAGCAGCAGCAGCAGCAGAAACCCACTCCACCAGTCACCACGCCGACGATGACCACGGCCAGGACTTCATCAGCACCCAGGCAATTGCATCCTTTGGCCAATGTCCGCAAGAAACGGAAGCTGATCGTATTCGAACTCAATGATTTCGGGATACCTGTGGCCCGGGTGGAGTATCAATGAGATTGGGACTTGGTTGGCAACATTTAGACGGCGCTTTGGTTCATTTATGTGCCAATTTGTTTGAGGATTTATTTTGGTTGTGTTCGTTCCGTGCCGTTGATCAACTTCATTTGGCCATTGTCAGAATGCTCAACAAATGAACTGACCTTTTCGGTTCAAGTACATATGTTTATTTGCTCACCCTAGAAGTAAATCAGCGCACACAATTAAGTAAATCCGAAGAAATACCACAAGATGTAAGCAAATAAGATCTCAAAGCAACGACATTAGCAAAAATCCAGTATAAAATACATATTTGGTTAGTCTTTCCTACATTTAAATTATCTTTTTCTGATACTTATATTAGCGACCTTACTACATTTAAAACTAAACACATAATCAAATACCGAGTGAATATTTTACAGTTCTCTATATTTTATAGTTACCAGAAAAAAAAGGTCGCAAATATTATTTAGCTATTTTTTTTCCAAATGCACAAAAAATACTCAAACAATGCTAGATAGAAGCAACTAAAAAATTATAATCACTAAACACATTTTAGTTTTTATTTTTTTTTTGGAAAATGTTTTCTCGATTTTGGTAATCCTAATGCAAAATTATTCCTAAGCAAAATTCAGAAAAATTCCTAAGGCGAAATTCAGTGTAATCTAAGCCATTGTTTCGTGTTGTAGTCTAAGCAATAAATTATACAAATACGAAAGTAGAGCAAAGGCATACAGATAATTAACAGGTACACTGCTATTTTCCCTGTGAACTGTTAGTGCAACATTACCATTTAGTAAGGGAAAAAGTCCTCCGAGTTACGCGCTTAGACTCTGAATTAGTGGATTAATGAGAGCTTAGGACATATCTGCTAGTCCTTAGGCCTGTGCCGGCAGCAAATTAATAACTCAAAATGATATGTTAAGGCTTACTACAAAACTGAAACGAATTTTTAATGCTTCGAAATTAATGTACTTTTTGTTTGGCTTGGAGCGCAAAAAGTATAAAATACTAGTTAAGTAAATTACATAAATAATAAATAAATAATAGTCGGTCTAAAGCTATTAAGTGGCTCATTTCAGATACTTAAGAGATCTATTAAAATACAAGAAGTCAATAAAATTGCAAGTGAGCAATGATAGAAAACCTGCGTTTGATTTTGGTCAGTGAAGTTCACTCAGTTCCCCTTTTTTGCTTTTTTGGAGGGGCGATTGTTGTTATACGCGGCGTATGAGCAATAAATGTTTTATATCCGAGCATTATGGTGTATGGCAGTACACAAAATGAAATTCATAGCGCATGTGTTTGTTTTATTGTTATACAGGGCGTATGAGCTATAAATATAACAATTCAGTTTTTTCTTTGCTATATATAAAATAGGAAACACAAAATAAAGTATTACTTGAAAGTACACAAGTTCAAACGGAGAAATGTCATACAACAAAAGTTATATCCTTCCCAACTTTGTTGTTATACAAAAGTTTAAAAGCTTAAACGCTTGTTTATGGCACTCAATGCTTTTAAATGCCATGCCATACAAATTTTAAGCGTTATAGTTTAGTCAACCATCTTAAGGGGTACCTATAAAATTCATTTGTAAAATACATATGTACAAATAGGGGAAGTGTTTTGAGTGCAATGTGTTTTCCCCGTAAAAGTTGAAGTCAACGGAATTCATTTATAGAGCTTCAGTTTATTGCCTGACTTAATATGCCAAGTAAATAAATATTTATTTAGCTTTAAAGTTAATATACGGCTTATTCCGAAGATTAAAACAACAGAGGTTTACATTTTTTAATAATAACATCATAATTCTCTTGAAATCGCATGTGTAGGCCCCCGTAAAAAAATGTGTCGTTGCATTGACAAAGTTAATCTGAATTTGATCCGACTATAGTCCTCTTTAATTTCCCCGTTTGCTTGGTTGGTAATGAATTGTTGTAATTAATTGTATGTAGTTGGCAATTTGGGTGCTGACATGTTTTTACATTTAAATCTAATTGTACATAGGCGTTAACGTATCTGCATCTTTACTGTAATGTTTTTTAGACATTTTCAGCCATTTGCAGCATCTTTTACTTCAAGTTTATATACAATCAAATTTATTTGCAAAGTTGCATTTAAATTTTATAAATTTGACAACTTTTATCAACCATCTGAAGATGGTATTTGTTGCTTAAATTTAAAATGCATTGCCTTTTAACCATTGAAATTAATTCCAATAAATGTGTATCCCTAAAATGTACGAGACAGATAAACAATATTTTCCTTTTTTGTTGCATTAAAGAAAAATTTATTATGCTGCTTTTACCCCACACCTAATAATTACTATACGATTATTTGATTAATCCGACTAGGATTCGTTATCATCACTGGAGTTGTCATCGCTGGAGTTGTCATCATTACTGGAGTTGTCCTCTTCCTGCGCGTCAGATCCACCATCGGTGGAAGGCTTCTCCTCGGAACTTGAGTCGTCGTCGACGGTGGAACCCTTTTGGTTAAGATACCGCTTGATGATCTCGTTCAGCTTTCGCTCCACACTGGGCTTTTCCAGTTCGTGTTCGGCCAGGGTCTGGCCCACACACCCGCTGGCATCCAGACCGATGCCCAGGAGTCGCAGGCCCTGGAGCTTAAGGCTGACCAGTTCCGAGGGAGCAGAGTCGAGTCCATTGAGGGCCTGACCGATGCCATTTTGGCAGCTGAGGACTCCCAGGGGACTGCGCAGACAGGACTCGATCTTGGAGCTCAGAACGTTGGTGGCATTATGGTACTTGGCAATGGCCTGGTGCACATTCTTCTCGTAAACGGCGTGGTGCACCTGCAACTCCTCCACGCAGCTCTGCAGGTAGCCGGAGTAGCGGTCCACCAGCTCATTGATGACCTCCTCGGCCTCCTCGTTCCCAACGCCATTCGTCTGCTGATCCACTCGCTCCAGTTGGGCAGCAGCCCAGTTGCCCCACTTCTCCTGGATTTCGGCGGCATATTCCTGCTTCTTTTCATCCATCTTATCGTAGAGGTTGTTCACGGCACCTTCGAGATCGGAGACGGCGGCATCTACGCTTTGGAGCGTGGCCAGAGCATCCTTCAAGGCCTTTCGCTTCAGGACATTCCTGACCCGATCAATGCCACCACGCAGCCGATCGATGACGGACCGCAGAGTGGAGGAGAAGTCCGTGATTCCATCGGTGACAGCCTTGTGCACGGCTTCGGCGATTTTCTGGGCAAACTGCACCGTCTCGTCGGAGAACTGCGATGTGGCATTCTTCACGGTATCGAGGAACTCCTCTGTGATGGCCGTTCCATTCTTGGTGGCGTCCACGAGGCCATCGATGATTACCTGACCGGTCCGGTTGAGGCTATCCCAGAGATCCTCCAATCCCAGTTCCGGCTGCGGGCTGGACACCACACAGCTGGCACTCAGGGCCAAAGCGATCAGGAGCAGGGCTGACTTGGTCGAGTGCATCGTTGGTCGACTGTTAGCCTAATCGCCTTCACCTCGCCCGTGCTCCCATTTATATATCTCTGCCAAGTCCGCATATGCAAATACACTGGCTGACTGGCTAAATATTGGTAGAGAGTGTTGCATTTTGTTAAATTAGTTAATATTTAATCAGCCGCTTTCCGATTGACGACACCGCTGCTCACAATGACCGATTGGATAACTTTTCAAAGATAGCTAACACTACTATTCTTTGATAGAAACATTTTACATTTGGTGGTCTAAATGAACAAAAAATACAATAAGAACTTGTAACAAAGTCACAGGCACAACTATGAGCTTGGTTATCTATATTAACTAAGACAGCTAGATACCAAAATTATATACAGTAAAGGAAATGGCAATCAAGCATTTAAATATATTACCCCTATTCATGCTTTAATGCACATAGCTACGAATTGTTGATAAAAAATATAAGTAAAAAAGGTGTTGATGTCATTGAAGGATGAAAATGAGTTTTTATTAAAAACTTTTTAATTAAATCAAGTTAAAATGTATTTCGGGAACTGTCGAACCGCTTAGTTGAATAGTATACAAATATTTCGCACATTTGATGCTTAAAATGTAAAGATAAAACATTTGAAAGCCTGCATATTAGCATTCTTGTTTTTATACCTTTACTGTTTCCTGTTCAACGCTTTCACATTTTTTGCAATTAAGTCTCGCATATTAAAAGATGAAAATAAATCAAATAAGTCACAATTTTAAGCCCTTCGAATTAAAGAGCTCTCTATGCGGGCCTCACACACATTGCCATAGTGCACAGCCAAACAAACGGCGATTCAATCCCTCGTCCTCCGCATTTGCACAAGGACAAAGGTTAAACTTTGCTTTAATTTTGAAATTTATATGCCTGCAAAACAAAGGAGCGAGTGTGGCGGGTGGTCGGTCGTCAACGGTATGTTTACGCTCAGGTTATACCCTTTTGTGGCGAACTTTATGCATAACTAACCGAAAAGATAGGGGGTGTGTGGATGTGTGGATGTGTGGATGTGTGGATGTGTGTGTGGCTGTGGATGTGTGTGGGCCCACGCATAATGATTGTCTTCAGCTTGCCTTTATTATGACTTTAATTGTCGCTTGACAAACGTTGACACACACACTCACACACACACACACACACGAATTCTCGGCAGGTGGAGTGTGGCAAGGCCTTGAGCAGTGTGCAGTTGGAACATTTTATTAGTCTGCTGTTAGTTTTGTTTAATTATGCTGTCATTAACTTTGTCGCACAGACACACGCACAAACTGCAAAACAAAAGCTTACATGTCGCAACGCAATTATTGTTGGAGTGGCCAACAAAGAGCCGCTCCGCAGGACGAGTCGCCAAGGAGGGGCAATGACAATGAGTTGGCTGTGCAACACCCACACCCACACCCACACCCACACCCGCAGTCATCTGGCTTCCCTCTTCTTGCCACAAACCCACTTTTCCCATGCACAGACATTTAATTTTGCATTTTCCACTAATTGGCTTGCATACTTGCCATACTCTCGCTTCGCTTAATTAATTTAATTAGAAATATGTTCCAGCTCAAAAGAAATTCAAACCTCAAAACCGTTTAGCTTATGATAATAATGGTGCTGCAATTGCAATTACTTCTATAGGGAGACTTCGGTTCGGATGGGTAGTAGTAGTAGAGGCTCGCCCTTAATGGCACATCACCAAATCAATTCAAAGGTGTGGTGTACTGCTTTATTTATCGAGAATAATTACATGCGAACTTTCGAATAGGTACAACAAATTGGTCAAAAAGATTATAAAATTAAATTTATTTTCAAACAAGAAAGAAAGCAAACTTCGGCAAGCCGAAGTTCATATACCCTTGCAGCTATTGCAAGAATTAAACATTTTTGAAAACATTAAAATTATAATTTACTTGCGTATACGTTTAAAAACATTGAAGCTGTGATGATTTGCAGCTCAATTATTTGATAGTTATTTTATATATTTTTATTGTTCCTATGGGAGCTATATGATATAGTCGTCCGACTTTGATGAAACTTAAACCGTAAATTGGAAATATTTAACCATTACTAAATGTCGAAGAACTAAACAAAAAATTAAAAAACAGAAAAGTTATAATTTTTTTTCATTTATTTTTCCGATTGTTCCTATGGGAGCTATATGCTATTGTCGTCCGATTTTGATGAAATTTTTACCATAATTCTGAAATATTTAACCATTGCTTTATGTCGAAGAACAAAACAAAAAATTAAAAAACAGCAAAGTTATAATTTTTTTTCAATTATTTTTCCGATTGTTCCTATGGGAGCTATATGCTATAGTCGTCCGATTTTGATGAAATTTAAACCATAATTCTGAAATATTTAACCATTGCCATATGTCGAAGAACTAAAAAAAAATTTAAAAACAGCAAAGTTATAATTTTTTTCATTTATTTTTCCGATTGTTCCTATGGGAGCTATATGCTATAGTCGTCCGATCCGGCTCGTTCCGACTTATATACTACCTGCAATAGAAAGACAACTTTTGGGAAAGTTTCATGCAGATAGCTTTAAAACTGAGAGACTAGTTTGCATATAAACGGACGGACAGACGGACAGACGGACAGACGGACGGACAGACGGACAGACGGACAGACGGACAGACGGACAGACGGACGGACAGACGGACATGGCTAGATCGACTCTACTAGTGATGCTGATCAAGAATATATATACTTTATAGGGTCGGAGATGTCTCCTTCACTGCGTTGCAAACTTCTGACTGAAATTATAATACCCTCTGCAAGGGTATAAAAATTCGGGTGATACACTTATTATAATAATAATCAGATCATCTAATAAAAGATTAAAAGTATTGTTTTTCAAAGTAATTTAATTTTATTTATTTATTTAATTTAATTCAAACAATTTTCTAAAATTTCATTGATTTTATTAAAATTTATTTCAGATTTTAAGCCACTTTTTTCAATTTTAAATCGTTTTAATGGATAAGCTCTAATAGTTTTTTATAATTTGGACCGAACATGATTATTTTTAAAGACATTTTGTATGTTAAGACAACATATTAATCGAAATACTCAACTGCTAAATATAAGTTATATACGGTTGATCTGCGAAAGGGCATTATACCGAGCAGCACATGGCTGTGACATAACCATTCCTTTATGCTTTTATGCTGACCTCTGCAACTGCCATGAATGCCAGCAGGACATGGACCATGGACCATGTACCATGGACCAAAAAGCAAGGAGCAAGGATGGAAGGATGGAAGGAGGAAGGACGATGCCTGAAATGATTCCATGCCGTTGCAATCGCGGCCATTAAGTCATTTTGTTTCCTGTAACATTTCCGGTATCTTTTTAGCGTCGTCGCCGATTCGAGTATTGCGGGCTGCCAGGTGGAGAGGGAAAAAGGGGGAGTTGAGGTCAAAGGGCGGCGGATTGCTGCAAGTGCTGCTGATTGGGGGTGGAGCGGATGGCTTGGGTGGCGGTGCGGCAACAAATGCTTTTAAAGTAGATGATGGCGCGCTGGCTGCTTGGTCAATTTATTGCTTACCAAATGTGCTGCTGGCCCGGGTCCGAATGCAACTGAGTCGCGCTCCAAATTGCAGCACGTAAAGTGTTCTCCGAAATTAACTTGGCCCCCTTTCAAGCCTGCCTCAGATAGGGCCAAATATACAAGTATGTGTATAAAAAATGTGAAATAATGGTCGCATTAATGATGGCCATCGAGCTTTGGGGGGCCACAAAATATATTGCACTTTCAGCGAAATATGGATGGAATCAAGTGAACCACTCGTTTTCTCATGTGTGAGATTAAAACGAATTGAACAACTTCATGAGAGCTGTTTGCAAAATGATTAAGTATTAACTACGTAAATCTATATACACAACTCTTTATAAAAAAAAGAGAGTTTAAAGGAATGTTATATCTGTGCATTCCTTTATTTAGGATATGTAAATACATATAATTTCCCAGTACACCGTGAAACCATAAATATAATTAGTATGAAATGCATATGCAGTGAATGCACTTTCATATTTTTTCTAAAATATCTTAGCTCTAAGTGAAGTCAACTGGTGTAAAATGTTTGGGAGCATTATTTTGCATTTGTGCAGGAGGCCATGATGAGGGCCGTTTGCCAAATCCTGTAGGACACATGCGGATACTTAACGGGCATTGCTCATACGCAGCGTGGCCAAGAAAGCAGTGCGACAGTGAGAGCTGCAGTGGAGGATTGCTGGTGCTGCCCACGGTGTCCCATGGTGCACATACAACAGATTTAGTACGGCAGCTTTTATCTTGTCGCGCTCCTGGATGCTTTGGGGATCAGGAAACGGCAGGTGGCAGCGAAAAGAGTCGTGTATGTACATTTGTACACGCCGGGCACTCTCGGCTCTAACTGCAAACGTATCTCTGGCCATATCTGCTACTGCTACTGCTCCTCCATATCGCCCCGGCAATCCCATCAGCCCCTTGCTAAATGTATAACAGCAGTCACTTAGCGCACTGCCACCGTCTCTAAACATCCAGCTCCAAGCTCCAAGCTCCAAGCTCCCACCTCCATCCTGCAATGGCAACCTTCGAGCAACATTGTGTGCGGTCGTTACTTCATTGGCACAATCCCCAGACTCGAAATGCTCGCACTGGCACTGACTGCTTTTGTTGCCTCCATTGTTTTGCTGTGCATTTCATTTTATTTCACTTTTTTTCGCCACGTATTTTCTTTTAATGCGCTGCGGATTTGCTGTGAAATATTTAGAGTGAGGGGGGACACCCATTCCCATACCCATACCCACCTGGCCTCTATCTGTCTCCCAGTTGGCCCAGCACTCTTATGCTAATTAAGTTTATGCTAATTTAACTTATTGCCACTAAGTTGGCCCACATATGCGGCCAGCCGCCGGTGCCATCGCTTTATTCTCCCGCTTTTAGCCCATGGAAATTTCGGAAAGCGATCTGGTTGCTGTCACAGTCACTGACAGTGTATTAATCCGCAAAAAAAAGAAGGTAATTAAGCTAAT